GCAAAATACAAAAAGAAAGGAGTATATGCAATCAACTTGTATCTATATTAAAAAAAAAACGGAACATCAAGATGTTGAGCACAGGAATTGCCAAACACTCAAGGGCTTAAACATTCAAGAAAAACGTAATAACACAACATCCCTTGCTTATGTCCATGCTTGATTTCTTTTAAGTTTTCTCTTTGTGTAAATGTTCAATCTCAGCTTCCATTTTAATTGTTGTTCATTTGTTTGTTACCCGCTGAGACTGATTAGACTTCCTGCCACACCTCTTGCTAAACCCCTCAGAACCACATGTCCCAATAATTCTTGGGGAATCCCTGAATCAAATCACACAAACCAGTAAAAGAGAATATGCAAGAAATTAAAAACTAACACCAAAACCCACAAACAAACCACAGAAATCACACAAACCAGTATGTTATTACTTTATATTCAAAAGAGCAGGGCCAAAATAACAATGAAGTCCTAACCTTTACCCCTTGACCCAATCATCTTCTTCCTTAACATGAAAAACAAGATCTACAAAAGAAGAAATGGATAATGAGTCGATCAATTACCTGAATCTTTGTTGGAGCCATGAAGATGAAAAGTGATCGATGTTGCAGCAGGTCGATGCAAGATCCACATTATATAAAAATACGGAATGATAAATATAACAAACATTTTAAAATTGAAACCTTTAAACAACATCCACATTACAAACATAGATCCAAATAGTAGCACCAAAACAAAAACTTCATTAATAACATATATCCTAGAATTACTTACACTCCAGAGCGTCTACACAGCTTCTCATCTTCTCTTGATCTTGGCAACTCTTACCATGACTACAACATATATCTTTTCCATGATTTTCTCAATAAATTTGAAAATCATGCGTCTCCATTGCTTCTTGAACAACAGAACTTCAATTACACCCTAAAACCCTATTGCAAATCCACTCATGATGTCCACGTAAAACCACCATACCTTGATTGACTCACCAACTGCTTTATGTTTCTTCTTGGGAGCTGTTGTTGTTGGGTCTTGATGATCCGAGCAATTATTTGGCAATGGAGGTCCACAAAGATCTATGTCCCCACCATATATTGATGGTTCATCAATAAGTGTCTGCAACTGAGTTCCTGTTGGAATTCATCCCGATAAGTTGTTGTGTGATAGATTCAGATGACTCAAAAAAGTCAAAGTTGCCATGCTTGGAGGGATCATCCCGATCAACTCGTTATTTGAGAAATCAAGAGAAAATAATACCGTCAAGTTTCCAATGGTGTTTGGAATATTCCCACTCAGATGATTATTAGACAAATTGAGGCCCAATAACAGAGAAAGTGCAGTAAGCTCCACAGGTATTTCTCCTACAAGTTTATTGCTTGAAAGGTCCATGCTATAAACTATATCCAAAATTCTTGTATATTTAAGATCAACACCTTTCATAACTTGAATCACATTCTCATTAGAATCACCACCGCCATTACTCTCATACCACTTTTCTTCACCATTAACAATTGCTTTCAACTCTTTTAGGCAATGAGGGATGATACCCGTTAAGTTGTTGTACCCAACATCCAAATTGAGGACAACTCTCTTATGCACTCTACAACATGAACTCGATGAGTCCATGGGGGGACTCGACGAGTCCATGAGTAAACTCATCCTACTCGTCGAGTAGGTTCTTGCACTCGACAAGTAGGAGCCACATAATGCAGTTTTTTCGAGTTTTGCTGCTGGAAATGGACTAGAAACATTACCCTAAACTGTTTTGCTAATAGAAAACTTGTTTTAGATGGTGTAATGGTTATGCTAAACCATTTTCAATAGCTATTATCAAAACTTCAAGTTTTATATGGTTAATTTTATGATTCTTGAAATTGTTGATATGCATGCTCATGAACTTATGAGTTTAGAATATCATAGGAATTATTTGTAACTTGTTTGTTAGTTTAATTCTTGATTGTTATGTGTTTTAATGGAGTCCATAATTTGTCCTCAATTTATGGATTACCAAAAGTCACACTTTTAAAGACCATTAAAGAAACACATAGGTTACATAAAATGAAAAGTCACTCATTTTATTAAACCATTAACTCATAAATTATGAAAGATGAAAACTTTTGAAAGTTACAAAACTTGCCCTCAAGTTTTGGAACATGTAAAGTCACTCTAAAAACTTTAGTTCCAACCCCTAGAATTTTAAAAGTTAAAATTCAACCGTTATACTTTATAATATTATATTATAAGTTTAATAATAATTATATATGTATAAGAAAAATTCGTTTTACCGTTAATAGGCCTCATTCACGAAGTTGGTCTATAAAGGGGGTTTTAAGGTTGCTGCCTATAAAATGATCGGTGGAGGATCATTAGCCGAACGCATAAGATAAGGACTTTAAATCTTCATTAAAAGTATGATAAATATTATTAAAAAAAAAAAAAAAAAAAAAAAAAAAAAAAAAAAAAAAAAAAAACTAAATGTTTTTATAAATTCCCAATCTTAATTACTTTAGGAAAATGTGAATATGGTGCTAACCCATGAAATTACACTTTGCACTTTGATTAAGTCGTTAGTGGAGCGTGTGTGGTTAACCAGCATACTAACATGGACTTAACAATGTAGTCAAAGGGTAACTTAATATTTATCATAGTATCGATGGAGCGCATGTGGTTAACCAGCACATCGATTGCGGGGTAAATATTAAGGCTACCAAGTAATTTGCATGGTTAATTCACACCTTGTTTTGTGATCCTCGGCATCCCAGCCACAAAACCTGAAGGGCACACTCGAGATTGAAACATGCCATTGAAAAGTTCAATGAATCTCAAAGAATCTAGGAGTTTCAAAACCAATTAAAACCTAATATTTTATTTCGTTTTTCATGGTGGAAATTGGTGAATCGTCATTCACCTACCTTCAAATATTTTATAGCTTGGATTACAGTATACCTCTTCTGAGTTATAAAATATTGTGTTGGGTCCTAGCCTTAATATTACATTTGGGTGTTTCATTAAGGACTATGTTTATATCTAATCTAAACTTGTCCTTCTTCCTTTCAGATGTCTTCCAACAATGATGCTTCTGGCTCAAACCCTACCGGCTCCTTCTCTCTCATGAACCTTTGTGGGAGAGTCATCTTTGATGGATCCAACTTTATGGATTGGATCAGGAACATCAGGATGGTCACTCGGTATGAGAACAAAGAATATGTTCTCGACAAGGATCTTAACGAACTTGAGTCGTCTGCTACTCCTAAGGAGATCGTTGAATATGAGGCACGTGAAAGATATGCTACCAAGGTGGCATGCATCATGTTGGCCACTATGACAACCGAGCTCCAAAAGTCCTATGAGGACTACTATCCTTTTGAGATGCACCAGGATTTGATGGACCGCTACCATTAGAGTGCTTGTCAAGAGCGATATGAAATCATCTCCTCTATGATAACAACCCGGATGAAGGATGGTGATCCCATTACGGGCCACATGCAGAGAATGCAAAGGTATGTGGATCGTTTGCTGAAACTAAATGTGAACTTCCCCAAGGAGTTAGCAATAGACATCATTTTACACTCCTTGCCTTCATGTTATGATCAATTCCGTATGACATACCACATGAACAGGGAGGAAGTTAGACTCAACAAACTTCAAGGACTCTTGAAGACCGCAGAAATTGGTCTTAAGAGTAAATCGGTTGTTATCACTCCTACTCCTACCGCGACCCCTATCTTGGCAACCGAACAAGGCAAAGGAAAGAAGAGGAAGAGCCCTTCGAAAGGTACCAAGGGAAAGTCTCTTGATGGCTCCTCTTCAAGTGGAACCAAGAAAGGTTTTGTCACTCCTTCTACTAACCCTAAAGAGGCTGAATGCTTCTATTGCCATGAAAAGTTGCACTGGAAGCGAAACTGCCCAAAGTACCAGCAAGTCGTAAAGGATGGGAAAGTTAAACCAAACCATGAAGATACTTGACACGATTAGCATGGTCCATTGGGGTTGCATGGCATCATGCATTTGTATAGGCTAAAATGAAAGAAATAACAATTAAGGTTTATTAATATATTATAAGTTCTAATATATTAAGAGTATTATTGAATTAGTATTGATCAAGAATTAATTTGAAATTACTTAAGTGATCAAAAGAAGACTAATTAAATATATGGGTTGATTGTGTAGGTCATCCATACGTGTATAGTGGGCTTATGCTCCATGGATTATCAAGTTGGGCTAAAACCCATAGGATGCTCCATGGATGTTCCATGATGTTGATAGAACCCATGGGTCATGGAAATGAAAAGTCGTGACAATTAGGATTTACATGGTGTAACCCTAATTGCAACACACTATATAAGCATCATGTTGTAGACCAAAATTGGCCACTAAGGATACAAGTGAGGGCTAGCCAATTTCTAAGTGTTCTTCATTTCTCTCTAAGTTATTCCAAGTGCATTTGGTGTTGTGTGAGACATTTAAGGCATCACACTTGAGGTGCTAGGCTCACAAGGTTTTGAAGGAATCCAAACTACTACAAGGTATGAATTTCTTACTCACTTTTATGATTAAAAGTTCCTCATGTATGCTAGATAGGTTATAAACCTTGGAAAAACAAATTTGCATGTATCATAGATAAAATATAGATCCAAGGTTTCTAGGGTTGCATGTACACCATAGGAGTGTTAGAATGCTCAAAACCCTACATTGTACCCGAACCTAGGAAAAGCACAAGAGCTAGTAAAGCTATATCTTTTGGATCTGATTTTCAATTTTATTTGGTTGAAGGAACAAGGAATGAGACTATATGTCAACATCAATATTGTTTTAATATTGAGGAGGATCCAAATACTTTTAGTGAAGCTATGGCTTCTAAGGATGTTCGGCAATTCATGATGTAATTGATTCTATCATGCATAACAATACTTGGGTATTGTCTAGTTTACCTCCTGGTTGCAAGGCATTGGGAAGTAAGTGGATCCTCAAAATAAAAATGAAGGTGGATGGCACAATTGATAAGTATAAAGCCAGATTGGTTATCCAAGGCTTTAGGCAAAAGGAAGGCATTGACTTCTTTGATACTTATGCTCCTATTGCTAGAATTTCCACAATTATATTATTGTTAGCTCTTGCAGCTATACATAATCTTGTGATTCACCAAATGGATGTGAAAAATGCATTCTTGAATGGTGACTTGGATGATGAAATTTACATGAAACAACTTGAAGGGTTTGTGATGCCTGGTAATGAACATAATGTGTGCAAGTTGAAGAAATCATTATATGGTTTGAAACAAGCACCAAAACAATGGCATCAAAAGTTTGATGATGTGATATTGTCTAATGGTTTTGCATTAAACCAGGGTGATAAATGTGTATATAGCAAATTTGATTCTTCTAGTAAAGAAGTTATAATTTTTCTATATGTTGATGATATGTTAATTTTTAGTACCGATCAAGGTGAAGTTGATAAAACCAAGAAATTCTTTTCATTGATGGATTATTTATTGTGTTGTGTCAAATTTACTTTGTATGTAATTAGCCTTTATCAAACGGATTGGGCTTGTCCATACGTCATTATGGTGCTAGGGTTAGGTTATATATATTGCATGCATGTATTGTATTAGGGTTAATCGTTTTGTGATTCCCTACTTTGTCTTTACATAAAAGTTCAAGTCGAACTCTTCTAAGGCATTGATTATTAATCATTCAGCACAACTTTGATTATTGTTCTTCCTCTTTTGATTCATATTATTGTTCTAAATCTATCGCTCTATTATTTATTGTTTCAACAATTGGTATCAGAGTAGGAGATTGTGTAAACCATACACAATTCTTTTTTCGAGTGTTATTAGTGTTTTTCCGCTTTTACTGGATCTGTTCTTGCCATCTTCATCGTTTTCATCAATTGTAGATGTTGGATCTTGATCCTTATTTTGCCCTTAACTCGATTATCGTTTTAGACATTTGACTCTTTACAGCCCTTTGCAAATCAACATCATGCAACCAGAAGACCCTCATACTATCTCCTTTAATCTATCCAGCAACATTGGTTCTACTACCAGGATCCTTATTCTCTCTCCACAAGACTATGTAGTCTGGGCTTTACACTTCGAAGACTACGTTCTTGGTCTTGAAGATCATGTCACATTAATTTGGGAAGCTATGATTCAACAGACGTTCACTCACACTGCCACAAGGAGGGTTATTAAAACACGAGCAAAATACAATGCTCTTCTTGTTGACGTTAAAGATGTTCCTCAAGACGAAAGAGACAAGCTGATAAGTAATGTCAATGCAATGAGGATAATCAGGTTCGCTCTTCCTTCAGACACGTTTCGTCTGGTGAGTTCTTGTGAAACAGCGAAGAAGGTTTGGGATAGGATGAAAGAACTCTATTCGAGTGATGCAGATCTTGAGCATTTAGGTCAAGCACTACTTCTTTCGGAGTTTGGTGCTTTTGCTCAAAAGCCAGATGAGAAACTCTATGTTGACTTCAACTTGACATGCTCCTTTGGATTGTTATTTGGGTTTAGCTCTAACAATGACTATATAGTTAGAATAATGGTTTTATGTTTATTGGGGTGATAAAAGCATTGCCATTCGGAACCATTCATTTCAAAGGGATTATATACGAATGGATTTCTACAAGAACTTTCATGTTTACACTATGGTTTACTCTGCTTTGTTGCATTTATCATTTTCACTACACCAATTGTTGTAGAAATACATAAATAATTATGTAAAAACAAAATCACACATATGTCCCTTTTTGTTTATATCGACACAATCATAAAACTTCATTCAACATAGAAAATGTGACACTTATGTATAAATAGTTTATTCTTGTCTTATAGTTATTCACTTAAGGGAGGTTTTGGTTTGGTTGAATTAGACTCCTAAGAGATTTAACAATGTGGTTATGGCTCTTATAAAGAAACATTGTGTAATCTAAACAACTTCATGATTTCCAAAATGGTGGAAATCATATTTTGTAAGCATGGTATATTTTTCATCATCTTTAACCATGTTCTTACTCATAAAATTGCTTTGTTTGAACTTTGATGGTTTTCAGATTATGTTTTACTAATAGTCAAATTTGATAAATAGTGGAACCTTATAGATTAAATCGATGAGATTAACATTAAATATTTGGTCAATAGTGGAACCTTGTCATATAATCATCTGGTTAATTGCTTGGTCTTCTATGTTACAAAATCAAATTGAACAAGATGATGACAAGTTTCAAAAGAAACAAAGAAGCATGGATCGAATATAGGATAATAATTTGCATTTTACAAGCTAAATGTACAACCTTTAATATAAGAAGTTCTCTAGCAATTGTTTCATCATGGACTATATTTAATGTACATGAAAGGAAGAACAATGTGTTGCTTTCTTCAAACACTACATAAATGAATTCAAAACAACCTAAACTATATATGAAGATGAAAGTACTATGGTGGTTTTTGTAACACAAGGCAAGATTTCTAAGACTATTTTCAAAGAGGGTCGGGGGTGGGGGGATTGATATCTTTTGCACAACCAAAGAACAAGAGCAAGTCACCATCTCATCTTTTTGGGCAGGACAAAAAATTGCAATTTGTCCCATTGGCATTAATCCCGGTTTTAGCACACCAAATATTGGTACATTTCTATGTAATAAAGAAGATGTAGAAGGGAAGAAAAATGATACTGAAGATGTATATGAGGAAGTAATCTTGGAAGAAAACTATAGGAAACAAGTACTTAACTACTTTGAAAAATAGATCAAGATATGTAACATAAATGACTCCTTGATTTTACAACTAACTATTGTTGTTGATTGATGGTCAAGACAAACTGAGAGTAAAAGTAGAAACTTGAAAAAGCAAATACAAAAATAAAGAAGTATATGCAATCAATCAACTTGTATCTAAATTGAAAGCAACAAAACGGAACATGAAGATGTTGAACCGCAGGAATTGCCAAACCCATGGAAGTTTTTGCAGCATGACAATGCTCAAAGACACATCAAGGGGCTTAAACACTCAAGAGAAAAGTAATAACACAACACAACTTGCTTATGTCCATGCTTGATTTCTTTTAAGGTTTCTCTTTGTGTAAATGTTCAATCTCAGCTTCCATTTGAATTCTTGTCATTTGTTTGCTACCTGCTGAGACTGATTAGACTTCCACCTTGGAACGTTCTTCAAACGCCACCTCTTGTTAAACCCCTCAGAACCACATGTCCCAATAATTCTAGAGGAATCTCTGAATCAAATCACGCAAACCAGTAGAAGAGAATATGCAAGAAATTAAACTAACACCAAAACCCACAAACAAACCATAGAAATCACACAAACCAGTTGTTCTTACTTTATGTTCAAAAGAGCAGGGACAAAATATTAATCAATACCTAAACTTTACCCCTTCACCCAATCATCTTCTTCCTTAACATGAAAAACAAGAACATCTAGAAAAAAAAAAATGGATAATGAGTCGATTACCTGATTCTTTGTTGGAGCCATGAAGATGAAAATATCAATCAAGACCTAACCTTTCCCCCTTCACCCAATCAACTTCTAACTTAACACGAAAAAAAAAACAAAAGAGGAAATAGATAATGAATCGATTACCTGATTCTTTGTTGGAGCCATGAAGATGATAAGTGATCGATGCTGCAGCAGATTGCTGCAAGAGAAGTGACAGGTTAAGAGCACAATAGCATACAAATATTGTCTAATCTAATAACTAGATATTATATAAAAATACTGAATGATAAATATAACAAACATTTTAAAATTGAAACCTTTAAACAACATCCACATTACAAACATAGATCCAAATAGTAGCATTAAAACAAAAACTTCATTGATAACATATATCCGAGAATTACTTGCATTCCAGAGCGCCTATACAGCTTCTCTTCCTCTCTTGATCTTGGCAACAACTGTTACCATGACTGCAACGTATATCTTGTCCATGATTTTCTCAACAAACATGAAAAGCCTCCATCTCCACCGCTTCTTCAACAACAGAACTCCAATTACACCCCAAAACCCTGTTGCAAATCCACTCATGATGTCCGGGTAAAACCACCATACCTTGATTGACTCCTCAGCTGCTTTATGTTTCTTCTTGGGTTTTGCTGTTGTTGTTGGGTCTTGATGATCTGAGCAATTGTTTGTCAATGGAGGTCCACAAAGATCTCTGTTCCCAGCATATATTGATGGATCATCAATAAGGGTCTGCAACTGATGGCCTGTTGGAATTCGTCCCCACAAGTTGTTGTGTGACAGATTCAGATGGCTCAAAAAAGTCAAAGCTGCCATGCTTGGAGGGATCGTCCCGGTCAACTTGTTTCCAGATAAATCAAGAGATTCTAACCTCGTCATGTTTCCAATGTTTTCTGGAATTCTCCCACTGAGATGATTATTAGACAAATTGAGACCAATCAGCATAGAGAGTGCGGTTAGCTCCACAGGTATTTCTCCAACAAGTTTATTGCTTGAAAGGTCCATGTTATAAACTATATCCAAAATTCTTGTATATTCAAGATCAACACCTTTCATAACCTGAATCACATTCTCATTAGAATCAGCCCAGCCATAACTGACATACCACTTTTCTGCACCATTAACCATTGCATTCAACTCTCTTAGGCAATGAGGGATGATACCCGTTAAGTTGTTGTATGCAACATCCAAAATTTGAAGTTTTGACATTTTGCATAAAGATTCAGGAATTTCCCCGGTAAAGTTATTCTTGTGTAATCTTAAAACAATCAAACTTGTCAGGTTTTCTCCAATCCAGTGGGGTATCTTTCCAAACAATTGATTATCACCCACATCTAGGACTCTTAAATATCTTAAATTCCCCAACTCTCGAGGAAGTTCACCAATGAATTTATTGTCATTTAATTTTAACCACTCTAATGATGAATGACTAAGTGCTATATAGCTTGGAATGACACCTGAAAGTAAATTTGAGCTAAAGATCATGACACTCAACCGTTGCAGATCCTGGAGACACTTGGGAATTGTCCCTGTTAACCTATTTCTGGAAAGATCAAGTAAATATAAATTTGTCCATCTGCACAAGGACTTCGGAATTGACTCATTGAAAATGTTATTTGCTAGTATCAATACCCATCCTATTTCTGGAAGGTTTGTCAATGGTCCGCTGAGTTTGTTGTGAGAGAGATCTAAGAAATCAATGACAGGCATCTTCCGCAACCATGTGGGTAGAGGTCCCGAAATTGAAGCATTCGACAACACGAACTCAGAGAGCAAGAACTGATTCCGTAGCCACTGTGGCAATCCATTTGTGAGATTGCAGGAACTGAGATCAAGATATAACAACTGGAATGGAGGTATCCACTCACGTGATACATTGAATGTCAACTTGGTGTTAGAAGAAGCATACAAGTGCTCCAACATCGAAAGGTTAGCAAAATGGGCTTCGGAAACTACTCCTTCTAAGGAATTGTCTGAGATATCTAACTCATTGAGTTTGGCAAGTTGCCCAATTGAAACCGGAATAGTCCCATTTAACAAATTTGAAGACAACCGAATTGCTTGTAATGAAACAAGTCTTCCTAGAGATGTTGGGATGGGGCCCGTTAAGTGATTGGATTGTAGATACAAAGATTCTAAAGCTGCAAGATTTCCAAAGGATTCTGGAATTGAACCATTCAATTGGTTATCATGTAGATCTAATACCTCTAAGAATCTTAATCTTCCTAGAGATTCGGGGATTGGACCTGTCAAACTGCTGTTCATTAGAAGTAAGACTCTTAAATTGGTTAGTCTTCCAAATGCTTCTGGAATCGTACCATTCAACCACCCACTTAAATCCAACCACTCCAAAGCATATTGGGAGCATTCTGAAACGTTTTGCGGTGGGTCAATCCTTTCTATTTCAAAAGGATTTCCATATGCAGCCAACGTTTTCAGGTGACACTGTCTCCAGATTCCAACATCCTCAATATTCTTAAACTGGTTAACAGAAAGATCAAGCTCTAGAAGGTTAACCATAATAGGAACCGAAGAATGCAGCATGTTTCTTGAGAGATCAAGGACTCTTAAGGAACTCATGTTACTGAAAACAGATGGAAATATGCCTTCAATTGAATTCCAGCTAAGATCCAGGTGTTGGATGTTAGAAAGCATACTGATATTAAAATGAGCGGAAGATAGAAAAGTCTTATTATCTAGCCAACAACTTGAAAAATGCAGCTCTGATAAAGAGGAAGGGATCATGTTTAGCACGTTTGCAAAGTTCCATGCCAAACTAAGATTAAAACCAGAAAGATCCAGAAATTCAAGGGATGTCATGTTTCGGCAAAATCCAGGGAGTGGGCCTTTGAAAGAATTGGAGCCAAGATCAAGGCGTTTTATGTTGGCAAGAATTCTACTCGAATTAAAAAAAGGACCAAGATGGACATTGGAAAGTCCACAACCACGCAAACTTAACTCTTTTAACGAAGGAAGATTGTAAAGCACCATGCCCATGTTCTTTGCTCCGCCAAGATCCACATAACTCAAGTCGAGATGCTCGAGTGATGGAAGGCCAAAAGTCCATGACATATCATCTGATGCTAGATTATAATTTGAACTGAGATCCAAAACCTTTAAATTAGAAAGATTTCCAATGTGAGGAGGAATAATACCTTGAAAACCAGCAGTAGAGAGATTGAGGTACATCAGCTGTTTGAAGGATCCAATGAACTCAGGGATCCGGCTTCCTTGATAAAAATTCAGACTCAAGTCCAGGTACTTGAGATGCCTCAACTCAGCCAAAGAAGAGTTCACCTCATTACCAACTAAGTAGCCTTCACTGTAAGAAGGGCCTCCTTCGCCACCAAAATAATACTCTCCTCTGAGATTGAGGCTGTCAATGGTTCCAGTGAGACTGTCACAGTGGATTCTTTCCCACAGGCAACAATCCTCCCCCACCCATGAAGACAACATTCCAGAAGTATCTTCAACACTCCCTTTGAACTTGAGAAGAGCAAGTCGCTCTTTCTGAGAGCAGGCGACACTGACATTTCCAACACCAAAACAAGAATATTTGTTTGCAACCAAAAAAACACATACGAAAATGAGATGGATCCCTAAACCCCTCCGAGTCCCCATTATTAACCCTCCTTTTTAATTTAGAAGAAAGTTGAAGTGGAAAGATAGGTTGTTATATTGAAGAAACCACTTCATTTATAATGCCATCAATGAAGAAAAACTAATTTCCATGCCATGGAAGACTTGAAGTCAACAGACATTTGTATGCACAAGTTGAATTTTTGTGGTCCCCATGGTAGACAGCTAGACACAATTGTATATGGCAACAATTCTTTTAAAAAATATAAAATAAATGACAAACAAGCATTTAGATTTTCAAGAAGTATAGGATAATTTATAATATTTTGTAAATACTAGTTATAAATTATAAACTTGATTTTGATGTTCAATCATATTACAATACTAGCTTCAAGAAAATAAATTTTTCGTTATTATTTGACTTGACAAGGTTATTGTGCAAAGTTTAATTAAAAGATACATTATGTAACTCCAAATTAAAGATATTATATTATTTTTTATAAAAAGATGTATTTTCTCAAATGCATTACGATTTCATTAGACATAACAATTTCAACCCAATTAATTGAAAAATAGGTATTTGTTATATTAATAATAAAAATACCTATTTTCATAATAATATAAATAGATATATAAAGAGATGTTGAGGAGATAAAAACGGGGTGGGATGGGGTGGGAGTTGAGGAATTTATGGGACCCAATGTTTTAATAATAAAAAAATAAAGTACAAAAAATAATTAAAGATATAAAAAATCTAGTAAGGGAAAAAAATGTATTTTTAGGTCTGTTAGGGATAAAAATCATAACAAAACAATATCACATGGATGGTCCGAATTGAGAAATAATAATATTAAATAAGGGACCAAGCATACATATTACCTTAAACCACAGGGACCATTCATGCAATTTACTCTAGTTTTTTCTTTTAAATTTGATACCAATGTTTTTACAATTGTTTTTGGCTTTTAACAAATTGGTGGTAGTGAATTGGAACACCATTGAGGAATAGTCTATGGCCCATGGCATACGTAAATGCATTTGGCAAAAAAAAAAAAAGTCTTCCAAACAAAGACCTTGAAGTCAACAAAGCAAACCCACTAATCACACCCATACACAAAAAAAAAAAAAAAAGGACATGATTGATGCACTAAGTAACCATCTTTCTTGTGGAATTTTCCATGAAACTTCTCCCTATCAAATGTATTCATCTTTAATATAATTATAAGTATCTTTTAAATCTAAAATAAATTACAATCATATTTTAACCTAAAATATCTTTAATATAACTACTTTTAAAGATTAATGAAATTATATACCAATAGTTTTTAAGTAAATACACGAATGGTCTCTGTGATTTCAGGTAATTAGCGTGTATTGTCCTTTAACCGTTTTTTTAAACTTGGATGGTCCCTATGGTTTGGTTTTGTTTCGGGTTTGGTACCCAACAAACTTAATATGACTATCTTGCGCTTAATAATATTTTTCTATAATTTTTTAGTTCATTTTTTATTATTATGTTATTATTAAATAGAGTAAATTATTAATGTCTAAAATGATACTTCACCAAACACCAGATGCTGCCCTTAAAACCACCTCCCCCACCATGGCAAAAGATTGAAGGATCCAGCCTCACACCATTTTCCCCTCTGTTACAGACAAAAAACAACATCATCATCCATTCCTGATGAAAATCAAATTCATACCAAGTTCACTCGATCAGATATATAATCTCAACTCTCGTAAAAATGTTAAAAAAAAAAAGAAACGCAAGAAGAAATGCACATAAACCATCACTGCAGAAGTTAACTGGAAGCACAAGGTTTATTTACTAATACGATAATTATGGTATCATGTACAAAACCTAATCTGATTATATTGGGAGCAATTACGTGTACACACATACATATATAATATTTGGCCTGGTAAAACTGTACACACATATATAATATAGCATATGAAGAAGAACCGGTTCCAAATATAGCAGCAATATGAAAACATGTTTTTTTTTCCAATTTTCTCACAGTAAACAAAAGCAAGAAAAAAATAAGAGGCTTTTCATGAGCACAGGTCAACATAGGAGTATAGTCTATAGGTGATTCGTTGACACAATAAAACAATACAACCAGTTTAAGTACCAAAGGGTCTACTGAAAAGCAGGGATTTAATTGAGTTTGAAGCATTTCCTCCATTAAACAGGTAATTACAGAGTACGTGGTGACAGAGGCTATCACCATCAGCTTATATGCATCATTACCTTCTCTGTGTTACAGGTCCCAATTTGTGTGACAATTAGGTCAGACAGAATCATAAAATCGTAGATGGATCATTTTCCCAGTATACACCAATGAAATTGGATTAACATATATGCATCGTTTTCAACAGCCGTTAATTACTATCTTTTTTATCTTACAGGTCCCAATTTGTGAGACAATTAGGTCAGACAGAATCATAAAAGTATAGATGGATCATTTTGCCAGTATACACCATGGATTATATTAAACATAAAAACATATATGCATCGTTTTCAATAGCCCTCAATTTTTTTTTTTTATCTTACAGGTCCCAATTTGTGAGCTGAATATTCTTAAAAAACAAATACAGCAGAGTTCATAAAGTATAGAGAATTAGCCAAAGAAAAAAAGTAAATCGGAAAACATACCGAACACCATATGAATCGGCAGTGTAGGCTTCGCCTTTTCCCCGTTCTCGTCTACTTCCCACTAACGATAGTTTTGAGATGACTGGAAATTTGGGGAAATTTTGTTACAAGTATATTACAAATTTGATCCCCTAGGTTTTGTTTTGTTACATATATAATCCATTTTGTAAAATCTAGGATAAATTACAAATGACAAAATTACAAAAATGGTCCTTGTAGTATGATTTTTTTTGGGTTTAGTCCAAACCACGAGTTTATTGGATTGACGGTCCTTTTGAGGTAGTTACATTGTGTTTTTGGTCCCTCGGTAAACTGAAATGACTGTAATGCTCTTCTGATATTTTTTTATGTTTTTTCTATTTAATTTAAATAAAAAAGAAAATAAATAATTAAATTGGACCTCTCTCTCTCTCTCTCTCTCTCTCTCTCTCTCTCTCTCTCTCTCTCTCTCTCTCTCTCTCTAAAAAAACATTAGACCTATTTGGCCATTTCTAACATTCTCTTCCTACCTACCAACCATCGATCGCTCACCTTCTCTTTCTCCATCTCTACCCTCCACATCAAAAACTCTGCCTCACTAACCGTTACACCGTCAAATACTCTACCACTCCCAAAATCATCGCTACCATCTCCGTCGGAGACAGACTCCTCGACATAACCGTATCCTATGTTGACTTTGACGGCGAACTCCAAACCACCACCATTATCGATCTCACTAAAACCAAAAAAATCCATGTTAATTAGTGAAGAAAAGACCTTGGTATAGCAATCTAATGTTGGCATGAGATATACTTATTTCAACCCAAACAAAGCTAGCCTTTTTTTTATTCTTTCGTCCCACCAAGACATCCTTATTCTTGATCATGAACTTACAATCACAAGCCATAACTTTATATCACAAAAGCAGTAATAAAGATACAAATAACATGGTGTACTGTTGGTTTAAGACATACATTAAACAGTTAATGGGCTTGAGGAATTCTCTTATAGATTTGAACACAAAATCTCAAAAGTCAAAATCAAGTTAATTTGAGCATGTGTTGAGAACAAATATGAAGAGTACAATAAATAAATCGGTTATCCTTATGTGTGGGTATGTGGGTTACATGAAGTAGATGTGGGTGATTCGAATGTAGAAACTGAAACTTATACATTTGTGCATGTAGATGGTTTTCAACAAAGCACTCGAGAAGCAACATGTCTTGTTTAATTAAAGTTAAATAGGAAGATGAAAAGCAAGAGTTGAGGTATTGTGAGAAGCACAAACAAGCAGGATGTGTAAATACCCCTAAATCAATATGTCATCGAATCCCTCTCAGGTCACGAAACTGAAGATAATCATACAAATATCCGATGATGACTCGGTTGATTCTGAAGATTCCTATAAGGGATAAACATCTTTCTTTGAAATCTAAAAAAATAATAAAGAAATAAAGGTGTTAAGAAGGAATGTGGTGGGTTGCTCCAGAAATGAAAATAAGTGTTTGTTCTTGAGTTCTTGAAAACCCATAAATATTGGGTCGACGATGTGGAGAGAGAGAGAGAGAGAGGGCCTACTTATTTTTTAATTTTTTTAAATAAATAAATGAATATAAGATTTAAAAAAATGAAATAATAAATACCTCAATGGCATTACAGTCATTTCAGCTTACCGAGAGACCAAAAACGCAACGAAACTACCTCAAGAAGATCGTTAATCCAAAAAAGTCATGGTTTGGACTAAAACCTCAAAAAATACATACCACGTGGACCATTTTTGCAAATTTGTCTTTACAAATTTTTTCTTTTTGTATTATGTCAAAACCTATGACTCTGATCTCTATTTCTTCAATTGGACCATTCGTCTGTAACTTCCTTAGAATGAGGTGAAGCAAATAGAATGAGTTAAAATTGCTTAAAGGAAGAAGAAGTGACCTTGGTTACTATGATAAAAAAAAATTTTAACAAATATATGATGTCTTTATAAATAATTGGATATATTTGTTTTAATCATTACATTAATTTAAAGATTTATAGTAACTTAAAACCAAAAATTATTAGGTGTAAGAGTCTTATAGATTATATCATAAAAACAGGCTGAGATGTTTGGGATCCAAGATGAATGTTTTGAGAATGAGATATTTATTACATGAAAAAATAAAAAGAAAATTATTTTTTTCTTTGTTACTAGTTAAGGGGTACCAATTGATAGGGGATCACAAACACACACACACATACACACACACACACCCTTGTCTTGTGTACACCATGTAATCGATATATAAACAAAAAATAATCTGAAATTTGTGGTTGGCAAGTTAAGGAATTTTTTAAGTTCAATATTTATGTTTGGGGTCCAAGTCCAACAATAACATGATATAAAATTAATGATTATATGTTTAAACTGATGATAAAAATGTATGTTTTCGGTGTGTAAATATGTGTGAAATAAAAGAATATATGATCAAAAAATAATAATGTGTCAAATGTAGTTTTAGCTTGATCTGTTGAAATGTTATTTTATGAAGTTTAATTGCAAATTAAGGAAAAATTGGTTAATAAATGGATACTATATCGTGTTTGGATAAAGGTCAAGGAAAACGGACTTGTAAATAATTTGAGAATGATTTGTCAAAGTGTTGAATGTTAAAAAAAATGCATGTAAACAAAGATACTTGACAAGTTAATAATGTTGATTAATTTCTTATTAAAAATTAAGATGCTAATTTCCTTATATATGAAAAATAAACATAACTATAAGCAAACTTGAAATAGCATATAATGATGCCAGAATGAAAGAAAGATGAAAGTACGTAGTATCTAGCTAGTAATCTATTACTTGAAATGGTATGGATACGATCATCACAGGCATGGAAAAAATAAGATAAGAATTCATACTTAAGCTAAGTAGATACATGTGTTTGATGCTCCAATATCACTCAAGTTAAAGTTGATGTGTAACGCCCTATTTCTAATTGCTTCCCATTGCGAGGTGGTATTAAAGGAGATGGTATTAGAAACTTCGAACCCTTGAAAAATTAAGTTTGGGCTCATTTGTATGTGGATGATGTAGTTTGGTTGATTCGGGTTTTTGGTTTGTGTTTTGGAGCCCATGGGTATCGGTAAAGGCGCTAGTTTGGGCCTTTTATGAACTTTGGATTTTAGTTTGGTTGATTTTCAGGCTAAATAAAGTTCATAAAAGTGTAAAGATTCTCATTACCTTTTCGTGGATATAAAGAACGTCAAAAACGGATAAAGGATGCAAAAGTTATGACCATCTGAAATTAGAGGGTGTTGGGCCAAAACGGGTACACATGGCTTACCAGGTAGAAACGCATGGCGTTTAAAAAGGAATTTGGATGCAGGAGCATTTAGGAACGTGTTGCATTCCCTAAGGGAACGTGTTGCGTTCGTTAGGCCTAACTAAGGTGTTGGACCCTATTTAAAGACCTTAACTCACCTCCAACCCTCATTTCCTCCAACCTCCATCCTCTCTAACCCTAAGAACGAAACCCTAGCCTCCATTTGAGGGATTCTTGAGCTTCAAAGTGATTTATGAGTATTTTAGTGCTTAAGGATGAGGAAGAAACTTCTTGAAGAGCCATTGCTTTACGTGGAGCTTTTGGAACCATGCTTTGTGCACCTAGATCTATCTTCTGGAGGTATAAAGCCTCAACCTTGACAACTCTTTCATGTAGATCTAGCTAAGTGGTATTTTGTTATGGTTTTGGGCCCTTTGAGGTGGTTCTTCTGAGTAGAAGTTACTCCAGAACCTTTGAGCTTCATATTTGGTACTTGTTGAGGTTATGGAGTCACAGAGTTTGGATCTTGATAAGTATAGACCTTCCATGCATGATTTTGTAGTCATTTGATGAAGTTTGGGACATAGGGTTTTTATTTGGGTCCCATTGAGTTATGCTAAGTCATAAAGTTGGAAACTTTATGACTTAATAAGTCCCTTTGAATCAGATTTGGAAGTTTGTACTAAGGTCGTAAGGTAAAAGCTTGCATCTTGACCACTTTATGGAGTTGGAATGCTTGAAATCATGATTGGGTCCTTTTGGACCATACAAAGGTGCCAAGTTGACAACTTTATGGATTAAGTCACTGATATGAAGCTATTTTGAGGATTTGAACGTTGGACTTAAGGTATTAAGACGTTTGGGGTAATTTTTGGACAATGGTCGGGAATGTCGTGCGTTCATCTCAGGAACACGACGCGTTCAGGCAAAGGGTCCCGATCTGTGGTCTGGCAACGAACGCCCTGCACTCCACCAAGGAACGCAACGTGTTCGGATTACCAGTAGCCTTTTGGTCATGGACTTGTTTTGTGGTTCAGGATTGTTTCTTTGGGCTATGAGTTATCTGTTTGGGCTCTAGTTGGGCCTTAGGACTTTGAGTGAGCCTTAGGTTTGGTTTGGGCCTCGAGTTATTTTGTTGGGCCATTAGTGGTCGTTGGGCCAAGTTTGAGTTGGACCCATTAAGGAAAGGGTAAAACGATCTTTTACCCTAGGAGTCAGGATTTATGAGTTGAGGCCGCGGTTAATGGATTATGGCATAATTATTAATTGGGATTTATTTTTTGCTAGTGTGGGGTTTCCGGTTCGGCAGCTGAGTGTTATCTGATTTGCAGCGGATCAAGGTGAGTCTCCTCACTGTTCTATGGGTCGAAGGCACCAATGACGGACCATTTGTTTTATCTATTGTAGGAAGACCCGGGGGTTAGCCCTTGGCATTATGTATGAAAGACCATGAGGCAGATCCTAGCAAATTGTATGCAAGACCAGAGTCTGAACTCTGGTAATTATTGGTTAAGTTGTTGTAGACTGTGTTGGATTAGTGTCTAAGTCCATAACTATATTTGGTATGTACTTGACCCGACTCGGCATGGTCCATTTGGGTTGCATGGCATCATACATTTGGATAGACTAAAATGAGAGAAATAACACTTAAAGTTTGGTAATATATTATAAGTTCTAATATATTAATAAGATTATTTAATTAGTATTGATCAAGAATTAATTTGGAATTAATTAAGTGATTAAAAGGAGACTAATTAAATATATGAGTTGATTGTGTAAATCATTCATACTTGTATAGTGGGCTAATGCTCTATGGATTATCAAGTTGGGCTAAAACCCATAGGATGCTCCATGGTGTTTTTGTACCCATGGATCATGGAAATGAAAGGCCATCACAATTAGGGTTTACATGGTGTAACCCTAATTGTGACACAATATATAAGCATCTTATTCTTGTCAAAATCAGCCACCATGAGAGACTATGAAGGAATGGTGAGGGCTAGCCGATTTCATTAATCGTATCATTTCTCTCTAAGTTATTCCAAGTGCATTTGATGTTGTGTGAACCATTTGAGGTGTCACACTTGGGGCACTAGGCTCTCGAGCTTCATGGAGTCAAGCTACATCAACAAGGTATGTATTCTATCTATTTTATTACCCAAGTATCTAAGGAATTGTATGCTAGTTAGGGTAATACCTTGGAATATTCATATTTGCATGTATAATAGAGAAAACATAGATCCAAGGTATTTAGGGTTGTATGTACACTTAGGAGTGTTATAATGTTCATAACCCAACAGTGGTATCAGAGCCTAGGCTTGTTTTCAATTATACTTGATGTAAAGTGCTAAAAAATGCTGAAAAAATCGATTTTCTGGCTTTCTGGGAACTGGACTCGCCGAGTCCACTGATGGACTCGCCGAGTCCATGAAGAAAATCATCCTACTCGTCAAGTAGGTTCATACACTCAACGAGTAGCAACCCAGACAACATATTTTTGAC